CGTCGACTTCCCCACTGTACATAGCCGCCCAGGCGGCACCCGCCACCCCTGCTTGCACCCCCTCCCCGCGCGCGCCGGCCTCCAGGCCGCGGCGAAGTTTCGTGTGAACATAAGTCCCTAAATACTAGTAGTGTTCTCAAGGTCCCCGAGCACGGTGCGCGACGACGGCTCCTCACACGGGCGCCCGCTGGAGCCAGGAGTCAAAGAGGTAGAGGAGCTCCCGGGGCTTGTAGCGCTTTAAGATTCAATTAGCCGCTGAATGACTGGGGACAAAAGGTTTCTAATGTAAAAAAAAGCCCGCTAGAGCTACCCGGGCGTCCGCGGCGTCCGCGGCGTCGCCGTCGTCGGCCTGGCAGAGGGCGACGCGGAGGCGCTCGGCCTCGTCCTCCGACGTCGCGCAGAGGAAGTGGAGCGCGGGCTTGGCGCCGAGGTGGTCCGCCGCGAGGTACGGCGCGACGCCGCGCGACCGCTTCGACCTCGCCGCGTCGGCCGGGGCCCCGTACGTTACTGGACGCCGTCGTCCGTCGCGAGGAGGAGCGGGTGCGCGAGGGGCGCCGGCGGCGCCGGCGGCGCCTCCGTGCGGACGACGAGGAAGAGCCCCGCGAAGATGGGCACCGCGCCGAGCGCGGGCCAGCCCGTCGGCGCGAGGCAGGCGTCGTCGTCGGCGGACGTCGCGCAGTTCGCGTAGGCGCCGGCGGCGAGGATGGCCGCCGTCAGCGCCGCGGCGACGACGGGCTGGACGACCGCGAAGGCCGAGACGAGCGTCGACGACGCGCGGCGCGTCGCCCAGGTCACGAGGCAGTAGGCGACGACGGACTGGCCCAGGACCCAGTAGGCCAGGGCCCAGAGGGCGCGCGCGGGCACGCGCCAGGCGCCGCGGCGGCCGCAGTCGTCGCAGACCACCGCGAGGAGCGGCCCGCTCGCGTTGACGACCGTCGTCGTCAACACCATGAGCGCCGCGGCGCGCAGGTAGGTCCGGAACGTGACGCTCACCGTCGGCGCGTCCGGCGCCGCGCCCTTGGAGAGAGGATCACGTACGCCGACGACGCCGTGCAGTTGACGAGGAAGAGCCCGTTCGCGGCGACGTAGCGAAAGCGCGACGCCGGCGCCGCCGACGACCGAGCGCCGAGCCCGACCATCGCGACGCAGCCGGCGAAGGCGCAGGCGACGCCGCAGGACCGCCGCCACGTCAACGGCTCGCCGAAGACGACGCGGCTCAGCGCGGCCGTGATGACGGGCTGCGTCGTCTGCCAAATCGACTGCGTCACCGCGTCCGACAGCTTGATCCCGGCGACGGTACCGATGCAATTCCGTGCGACGACTTCCAGTACGTCAACAACAACATCTGCCTCGAGTGCCCGACCGGCTTCACGTGCGACGGCGACACCAAGACGGCGTGCGCCGTCGACAAGTACGTCGACAACAACGAGTGCCTCGAGTGCCCGACCGGCTTCACGTGCGACGGCGTCACCAAGACGGGGGCTGATGGCCTTCGGGGCAATATGACCTTCCTCGGCGTCGACGTCGACACCGCGAACGCGAACAAGCCCGCCTTCGATACGACGATCGCGGGGATCGCGGGCGTGGACGAAACCTCCATCGTCGCGCTCTCCTTCGCTCCTTTTTCTTCCTTCTCATTCGACGACGTCACGCAGTGCTTCCTCGACGGCGGCGACTGCGCCTCGTGCTGCCCGGACTGCGACGACCTCTCTTATTCCCGGAAACAAAGTTCCGACAACTGCGTGTGCTACAGCGAAGTGTTGACGCACCCCGCGGACTATTTGGGGCTATATCTGGGCGGCCAGGGCTCTTGCGTGCACGTGACGTCGGCACTAGCCAGTTTTACACCCCCTAATAACCAACCCCGGGGGGGGGTGTTTGGAGGTACCGGTGACGACGTGATCGTGCTCGAGGGAGACTACTTCTCGGATATTTACGGCAAATCAGGCGAAGATAAGATCACCATCATTGGAAACGAGGCGAAGAACGTCAATGGCGACTTGCCCCGCGGCGAGCCGCAGACGCGCCGCTCCCTACCCCCCCCATCCCCTCCCCCTTTGAGAGATTTATCCCCAAGGGCTCCCGACGCCGCGTTCAGCGCGACGTCGCTGCCCCACGCCAACGGCCTCGCCAAGCCGCCGCGGCGCTCCACCACCGCGGGCCGAGCAAAACTCGCGCCCGCCGCCGATCGAGGTAACACTACGATTCGTTGCTCGACAAGCGGCAGCGCTTGCGTCGGTTGAACATGAGAAGCTCCCACCGTGCATCGCGAGGCCACGCGTGAGCCTTCGGCGAGGCGCGTCCGCCGCGCGCCATCCCCGGCACGGCGGGCCACGGCCGACGCGCTCGGCGCGAACACGCGATTGCGATCGTACTACTAGTAGTAAAGTTTTAGCCTTTCAAGAGCCTCCGAGTGCGTAGCGTCCCCGATCGAGAGCCAAGCTCCGCGGGCCGCGTCAGGAGCCGAGCTCCGCGCCAGGGACGTCCGGTAAGGTATAGTATCAATATCACCTAATAAAAAACTGAAATCCGGATTGTGTTTTATATCCTTGTATTTTTTTTGAAAAAAGTCAAAAGAAAGGTAAAAAGCGTTCAATTGGCTGTTTTAGTAAGGTGAAAAAGTGTAGAAATGGATGTTTTAGGAATACCCTAAAAAATCCACCCGGGCGAGAAAGCAGTACAAGCCGCCTCTATGCCTCTATGCCGCGGCCGCCTCGGCGCCCCCGGCCTAGGCCGCCGCGGCGACGCGCTCGTCGATGAGCGGGTCCGCGGAGACGCCCGTGGGCTTCGTCGACGCGGGCCCGTCGGCCCAGACGTAGTAGCCCTCGCCGTTCTTGCGGCCGAGCTTGTTCTCGGCGACCTTCTTGGCGAGGCTCGGCGGCACGGCGAAGGCCTGCTCCTCCGGGTAGTCCGCGGCCCAGCCGGCGAGGATCGAGTGGCACGTGTCGAGGCCGACGTAGTCCGCGAGCTGGATGGGCCCCATGGGGTGGCCCGCGCCGAGCATCATGGCCGCGTCGACGTCGGCGACCGTCGCGTCGCCGCGCTCGACCATGGCCAGCGCCGCGGAGATGTTCGGGATGAGCAGGCGGTTGACGATGAAGCCGGGCGTGTCGATGCACGAGACCGTCGTCTTGCCCGTCGCCCGGGCCCAGCCGTCGACGAGGTCGAAGACCGCCGGGTCCGTGTGGTCCGTCTTGACGACCTCGACGAGGCGCATGAGCTGCACGGGGTTGAAGTAGTGCAGGCCGACGAAGCGGTCCGGCCGCCCGCTCGCGACCGCCATCGGCGTGACCTTGAGCGAGCTCGTGTTGCTCGCGAAGATGGCGCCGGGCTTGATGCGGCCGCCGAGGTCCGCGTAGAACTTCGCCTTGACGCCCGCGTCCTCGACGATGGCCTCGACGACGAGGTCGCAGTCGGCGAGCGCGTCGACGCTGTCCGCGTACGAGAGGTTCGCCAGCGTCGCCGCGACGGCCGCGTCGGCGTCGAAGGCCGGGTCCTTCTTCGCCTTGCGCGCGTTGAGCTTCCCGACGCTCGTCTCGATGGCCCTGCGGCCGCTGGCGAGCACCTCGGCGTTGAGGTCCACGCCGATGACGGCCGTGCCCGCGGCGGCGGAGATCTGAGCGATGCCGTGGCCCATGAGGCCCATGCCCACGACGCCGACCTTGGCGATCTCGCCCACGGGCGGCGCGGAGCTGAAGCAGCGGCGCGAGAGGGACCGGAGGGCCATGGTGTCGTGCGGCGACTGGGGCGTCGGCGGCAGCACTCGGTACTCGAGCTCGAGGAAGACTTCAGGAGACTGTGGCAGAATTCTTACTGCTCGCTGAACTGCACAGTGTCGTCAATGTAGGCGTCCAGGCTCTCTACAGGCTCGACCTGGTCAACGTACCGCACGCACCCTACGCCACCTTATCGTCCCGACTCCCGTGGCTGCCCGTGCGCACGTCCACGGGCGGCGCGTCCAGCCGCGGGTCGCGCGCCGCGGCCGCGGCCCAGAGCGGCTCGCCGCGGAGCGCGCGCGCGAGCTCGCCCTCCAACGGCGCCAGCAGCGACACCGCCTCGCCGTCGACATCGTCGAGCGAGATCGCGAGGCAGTGCAGCGCCAGGCGATCCAGACCCCGCTCCTCGCGCCACCAGCGGTTGACCCTCGAGTCGCCGTGCTTCGAGTCGCCGATGACCGGCATCGACAGGTGCTGCGCGTGCCGGCGGATCTGGTGCGGCCGCCCCGTCGCCGGCGCCGCGATGCACAGCGTGCAGCGCGGCTCCTCCTGCGACGCGAGGTAGCGGAACACGGTCCGCGCGTCGCGCGGCGCGCCGTCGTCGCCCTTCACGGGCTTCTCGACGACGACGTCCGCGCCGCCCTCGCCGGGCCAGTCGCCGCCGCGCAGCAGGCAGAGGTACTCCTTCGTGCCCGCCGCGAGCGCGTCGTGCGCCTTGCCCGCCGTCGGCCCGTCGAAGCCGAAGAGCAGCGCGCCGGACGTCCGGTGGTCGAGCCGGTGCGCGGGAAACACCTTCCGCCGGAACTGGCGCTGGAGCTGCGTCGTCACGACGCGCCGCCGGCCCGTGTCCTTGTTGCGGTGCACGGAGATGCCGGCGGGCTTGTTCACGGCCACGAAGCGGTCGCTGTAGTGGAGCACGGGGATGCGCGACCCCAGCGCCATCAGGAGCGGCAGCAGCATCGCTGTTGCGTTGTGTGCTGCAGGCGGCGAGGCTGCGACCTTGTGTGCTGCAGGCGGCGCGACGGCGACGACTCCTGTGGCGCTGCCACGGGACGACGCCTGTGGCAATTGCCACTGGACGAGGACGAGGACCGAGGCGAAAATCAAGTGCCTCGAGCTTGGGACGCCTCTCGCGCCGTAGTCTCGCGCCTGTCCAGGCGCGCGCGCGCGGCCCGCGACGCGCCGCGCCCGGCGCGCCTAGCTAGCGGTATGAATCTGCTGCCGCTCGAAGCGACGACGAACGCAGAACCGAAGACGAAAAAGCCCCGGAAGAACTGCGACAAGAACCCGCTCGACGTCTACGGCCTCGGCGAGCAGGCCAAGTCCGGCCCGGTCTGGGGCGAGGCCAAGGGCCTCGCCGAGGCGCTCGGCCCGGACCCGGCGCTGCGGTCGCGGGCCGACGGCGACAAGGCGAAGCCCGCGGGCCTGCGGAACCTCGGCGCGACGTGCTACCTCGGGTCGCTCGTGCAGGTGCTCTACCACAACGTCGCGTTCCGCGAGCTGCTCTACAAGGCGGAGCCGCGGACGAAGAACGACGACGTCGACGTCGTCGGCGCGCTGCAGCGCATCTTCGCGGACCTCGAGACGGGCAAGCGGTCGTCCGGCGACGTGACGGTCCTGACGGACCTGCTGGGCCTCGAGGTCGCCGTGCAGCAGGACCCGCAGGAGTTCGGCAAGCTCTTCATGGCCAAGGTCGAGGAGTGCTGCGGCGCGGGGAGCACGAACTTCATCGCGGACCTCTTCCGGGGCCGGCAGCGGTACGTGACGACGTGCACGGTCTGCAAGAACGAGTCGACGCGCGACGCGTCCTTCGACGAGCTCGAGGTCGCCATCGCGGGCCGGCCGAGCGTCCAGGCCTGCGTCACGGCGCACGTCGGCGTCGAGTACCTCGAGGGCGACAACCAGTACCTCTGCGAGAAGTGCGGGCGCAAGGTCGACGCGGAGCGGCGCGTCGTCGTCACGCAGGCGCCGCCCGTGCTCAGCGTCCAGCTCCTGCGCTACGTCTACGACCGCGTGACCTGGGAGAAGAAGAAGCTCCGCGACGCCATCGAGACGAACGCGAGCATCGACGTCTCCGAGGGCGACGCGCTCGTGCCCTACGACCTCGCGGCGATGGTCCTCCACCGCGGCGAGTCCGCGCACGGCGGCCACTACGTGTCCCGGTGCCTCGACTGGCGGCGCGACGCCTGGTTCCAGTTCGACGACGACACGGTGACGTCCGCGGCGACGCCGAAGCCCGCGGACGCGTCCGACGACAAGAAGCGGAAGGCGCCGGCCGCGAGCAAGTCGTCCGAGAGCTACATGCTCGCCTACGTGCGCCGCGACTGGTTCGCCCAGCAGGCGTGCAAGAAGGGCGGCGCGGCGGCGCCGGACGCCGGCGGCGCGAAGCGCAAGCGCGGGGCCAAGCAGGGCCGCGCGTCGAGCCCCGCGAAGCCGCCGCCCGGCGCCGAGGAGCACGTCCACGACCTCGACGAGGCCCACGAGACGGAGATCGCGACGTGGAACAGCGCCAAGGACGCCCTGCAGTCGGCCGCCAAAACCCGGCGCGCGTCGTACGACGCGCACTTCGGGCGCGCGGGCGCGACGCCGACGCCGTGGCGCGATTCCGCGGCGACGACGGAGTTCGTGGGCGGCATCGCCCTCCTCGAGACCGAGGCCCTCGCCGCGTGGGTGAGCGGCAAGACGCCGGCCAAGGCCGTCGACAAGGGCTCCGCCGGCGCGTCGTCGTCGGCGGCGCCCGAGGTCATCGTCGTCGACGGCGACGACGACGACGGCGACGACGCCGCCGCCGCCGCGGACGCGGCGCCGTCCGTGGGCGCCGTCTTCGACGGCGAGACGCCCGAGCGCCTCGCGAAGCTCCGGCGCCTCGTGCGGACGCCGCGGCTCTGCGCCCACCGCAAGCTCGACCCGGCCGCGCTGCCGCGCTTCAAGGTCCTGCGCCGCGAGGTCTACGACGGCGTGCTGGCGGACCTCTTCTGCGGCTGCGCCCCGGAGGTCGACGTGACCCTCGACGCCGCCAACGCCTTCTGCGCCGAGTGCGTCGAGGACGGCCGCGCGCGCGACGCCGAGGCCGAGGAGCTCCGCGAGCGGTACCGGGCGCTCCACGCGCGGCTCGTCGACGTCGAGGCCGCGGCGAAGCGGGGCTGGGACGCCGAGGGCGAGTACCTCGTCGCCAAGGGCTGGCTCCCCGAGCTCAAGAAGCTCGGCGCGCCGCCCAAGGACCGCAAGTCCGGCGGCCGGCAGCGCACGCTCGCCGACTGCGGCGTCGGCGCGCCCGCGAGCGCGGGCGACTGCAACCGCTGCATCGTCTGCGACCACGGCGGCCTCAAGCCCAAGACGCGGGGCAAGCCCGTCGCCGTCGACGCCGCGACCTGGCGCGAGATCCTCGCGCTCTTCCCGGCGTCGGTCGAGGTCCGCGTCGGCGCCGTCGAGTGCGCCGCGTGCGCGGGCGCGCGCGAGGCGCAGAGCGCGCAGAACGACGCGCGCCACGACGAGCTCGAGGCGCACCCGATCCTGCGCAGCCTCCTCGACCGCGGCACGGGCGACCGCAAGAAGACGCGGTCGCGCGGCGGCGTGGACGCCGCGCGCGCGGCGACGGACGACGCGGCCGCGGCGTTCGGCGTCCTCGCGCCGCGCCCGCCCCTCGACGCCGCGGCGCCGCGCCGCCCCCGCGAGTGGATCGTCGCGCGCGTCGCCGCCGGCGAGGACGAGCCCTTCCCGAGCCTGCGGCTCGTGCCGCGCTTCTGGCTCGCGCGGTGGCGCGCGTACCACCTCGACAAGGGCCCGCGGCCGCCGCCGCTGCCGGACGCGCGGGCCGCCCTGGCGCTGCCGTCCGGGCTGATGACGGTGCCCCTCTGGCTCGACCGGCTCCTCCGCCTCTCCGCCGGCGCGCTCGGCTCGCGGGGCGACGCGGCGCGCGCGCGCGGCGACGACGCCGCGGCCGTCGCCGAGGCCCTCGAGACCGCCGCGACGACGGACGACATGGTCCGCGACGCCGTGCGCGAGTCCGCCGGCGGCGCGTCCGAGACGCTCGACGGCCTCGCGGCCGCGACGGGCGGCGAGAACGAGCTCCACGAGGCCGTCGAGGAGGCCGAGTGGGACGCGCTCCGCGCGCGCTACGGCGACGACGAGTCGGACGCGCTCCGCGTCTACGGCGCGGACGACGCCTCGTGGACGACGGACCCGGCGTTCTGCCCGAGCCACGCCGCGGCCGCGAACCTCAAGTTCGAGAGGGACCGCGACGAGTACGGCGACGCCGCGATCCACGTCGCGCGCCTCGGCGCGACGGACGCGCCGCCGCCCGTCGAGGACGAGGTCGAGGCGCGGCCCGACGACGGCGACGACGGCGACGGCCGCCGGCGGCGGTCCCAGCGCGCGTCGACGCGCGTCGCCGCCGCGCCCGCCGTCGAGACCGTGCGCCTCGCGTCGAACGACCGCGTCGGCCTGCTGCTCCTCAAGCTCTGCGAGGCCTTCCCGGAGATGATGGAGGGCGAGAAGAAGCGCAAGCGCGGCGGCAAGGCCCTGGCGCTCTACCGCCGCGGCGGCGCGGTCCTCGACGCCTTCGACGCGACGCTGGAAAAGTGCGGCGTCCGCGCGCGCGACACGCTCTACGCCAAGGTCGTCGACGGCGACGGCTCCGTGCCCGGCGCCGCGACGCTCGACGACCTCGTCGCCTACGCCGCCACGGCCCGCGCGCCGCCCCACAGCAAGCGGGGCAAGCAGGAGCGCGAGGCGGAGACGGGCTTCGCGGGGACGATGCTGGGGAGCTCGTCCGCGCCCGCGGCGCCCATCGACGTCGACGCCGAGTCGGACGACGACGGCAGCGGCTCGGCCTAAGGGTGTCTCTAGAGCGGCGTGTCTCTCTCGACGCGATCGTCCACGCCGCGGACGCCCGAGTCGCGTATGAAATTTGTGGCTCGAGGATCTATCGTTTCGAGGTGCCTAAATGAGCCGCTCAGCGAAGCTCGCGACCGAGACGACGCGGAAGTCCCAGTACGGGAGGCCCGCGCTAGACTAGCTCTTCTTAAAGAAGCTCCGGGCGCTCTTCTCGGATTTCGCGAGCTTCGCGGCCTCGCGCCTCCGCCGCTCCTCGTCGAGCTTCTCCGCGTCGCCCCAGCGCCGGTCCGCCTGGACCTCGAGGTCGCGCCGCAGGTAGAGCTTCATGGGCCGCCAGGTCGGCTGGCGCGGGTTGGACCGCTCGACGCTCGCGAGGCACTTGAGCGTGTTTTTCGGGAGCAGGTACGTCGCCGCCGCGTCGCCGGAGGGCACGAGGTCGTAGGAGCTGCGCGCCTTGTGCTCCGCGCAGACGCGCACGGCGAAGACGCGCTCGAGCGTCGCGTCGAGCGGGCCGCCGCCGCAGACCTCGCAGCCGGCGCAGCCCGGGCCCTCGGTCCTCCGGCGCTTCGCCTCGGCCTCCGCGGCCTCCGCGGCCCGGCGCTTCTTCGCCGCGAGTTTCTCGAGCGCGGCGGCCTTGTTCGCCGCGGCGCGTGCGCGCGCGGCGTCGTCCATGGCGGGTTTTGGTGGTGTGGTTGCGGGCGCCGCGGCTTCTTGTTTGCTTGGCGAGGGCTCGGCCGGAGCCGCGTCAGGCTCCATCGCTCTTCGATCCGGTTCCGCTGGCGCGGCCATGTCGGCCATGTGTGAGAGCGGCGGCGGTGCACGCCGACGTGCGCGCCTCCGCCTTCGAGCGCGCGCGCGCAGATGGAGCGCAGATCACTGAGACGAGAGAGCTCGATGAGAGGTGCAGCCGATGTTGATCGACTCGGTGCCGTGCAATATCATCCTGGGGACGGGGCGCTGATGGTGGGCTACCTCGGTGTGTGAAAACCGGGTCTCGGAGCGCGGCGGCCATGTCGCTCACGCACGCGAAGAACAACGTGTGGACCTGCGAGTCGTGCAACTGCAAGACGAACCCCGTGCGCGCCGTCGAGTGCGCCATCTGCGGCACGGCGGCCCCGAAGACGAAGTTCGGCCGCAAGGCCCACGGCAGCTACGTGCTCGTGAGCCTCAACAACGCGAAGCGGCGCGCCTTCGCGCGCGTCTTCGACCTGCGCACGGACACGGTGCTCACGGAGGAGCTGCCCGCCGCCGAGGAGCTCGACGACCGCGTCGCCGTCGCGCTGCGTACGGCGCTCGACGCGGGCTACCAGGCCAAGGTGCGGCACGAGAAGCACCGGCGGCACTCGACGGCCCAGACCCTGGCGAAGCGCGTGCACCGCGAGCGCGAGGCCGAGGAGAGCCGCGCGCGCGTCACGGGCGACCTCTTCGCGCAGGTCGCGGCCGGCGCGGAAATCGACCGGCGAGCCGGGACGTCGGGGCCGCGCTTCAGAGTTCTCTCGCTCGGTCACATCGATTTGGCTGATCTTTCGACGAATCGATGGCTCTCGTCGAGTTCTCGAAGCACACACGACGCGCGCGCGTCGAACCCGTCGCGCGCGCGCCCGCGGACGTCGGGTCGAAGCTTCGAGGTCCGCGCAGGTCATGGCGCACGACCGGAGCCAGGCGAACGTGCAGCGCATGCTCGGCCAGCAGAGCGACATGCGGCGGCGCATCGAGGCCATCGCCGTGGAGCCGGACCTGCACTCCTACGACGACGACCCGCGGAGCCGCTACGCGTCGTCCGTCGACGAGGACGAGGCGCGCGTGCTCATCGACGCGGGCGCGGCGGCGCGCGCGGCCATGGTGCCCTGCACGTGCTGCGAGCGGCCCTACCGGGCGCGCGCCATGCTGGGCGTGGCCTCCTTCCACGCCGTCGCCGAGTGGCGGCGGCGGCGCGGCGCGGACATCCCGCGCGGCGACGCGCGGCACGGCATCACGAAGCGCTACGAGGGCGTCAAGCTCTGCGTCTTCTGCACCCAGTTCTTCGACGACGAGTTCTGCGACTACGTGCGCATCTCCGGCGACGCCGCCGTCGTCGACGACCCCGTGCTGCGGCTCGCCAAGGGGCCCGAGGTCGAGATCGCGCGGCCCCACAAGGGCGAGGCGCAGCGCGCCGTCGGCGTCCTGGGCCTCGCGGCGGCGGCGGCGGCGGCGGGCGCGCACGCGCGGGGCGTGCCGCTGCCGCCCGTGGCGTCCGCGCGGCCCGCGTCGACGCTGCGCCAGCGCATGGCCAAGTCGGAGCTCCAGATGCGCGCGAGCCAGCCCCTCAAGATGGACCCCTGGGGGTCGCACCTCGCGGCGCACGAGACCCGAAAGCCGCCGAAGCCGCTCCCCGCCATCGCGAAGAAGGACCCGGCCGTCGAGCTCTCGCGGTCCGCGCCCTCGCTCGGCGACGCCGCCGCGGCGCCGAAGCGGCGGAAGCCGCCGAAGAAGGCGCGCTTCGCGGAGCCGCCGCGGGCCGCCGCGCCGCCGCCGGCCGCCGACGCCGCGGCGGACCACCGGGTCCTGGGCGCGCGGCTCACGAACTCCGGCGCCTTCGGCCGGCCCGCGACGCCGCGCGCGCCGCGCGCGGCGACGCCGCCGCCGCTCCGGGGCCGGGGCCGGCCCAAGCCCGAGCGCGCGGTCCGCGACTCCTGGGCGGGCCAGGCGCCGCACGACGCGCGCCGCGACCCCGGCGCCCCGGAGCCGCCGCCCTCGCCGTCCTACAAGGCCGTCGACGACGCGTCCAACGTCTACGTCGTCTCGAAGCGGCGGCGCGCGCGGAAGCGGGCGCCGTACGCGCGGTCGACCGCGCGGCCGCCCGTGCGGCCCGACGCGCTCCTCGCCGACCGCGCCCAGCGGTCGTCCATGCAGAACACGGACGGGAGCCGCGTGCCCGACGCGAAGAGCCGCTTCACCGCGGCGGCGCAGCCCCACTTCTTCACGGAGACGGACGGCGGCCTCGCGAAGCCCCGGCGGCGGAGGAAGAAGGAGCCGGGCCCGGAGGACCACGACCACGTCGAGCGCAACGCCCGCGCGTCCTGGGCGGGGCAGAGGCCCCACAACTTCGACGCGGACGCGCCGCGCGCGCCGTCCATCTACGGCGACGGCAAGCGCGTGCCCGAGCCCAAGACGCGCAACACGGCCAAGCACGTGCCCTTCATGTTCACGCACGACACGCTCGCCGAGCCCACGCAGCGCCGGGCGAAGCACCGCGACAAGAGGACCATGCACAGCGCCGCGTTCCGCTAAGGCCTCGGCGTACTCTTACTCGGCGCCGGCGGTCCTCGGGGCCCGCCGGCGCGTCACGCGCGCTAGCCGTCGAGAGCGACGTGGTCCGTGTTCGCGCGCCGGCAGTGCTGGCAGCGCACGGACGCCGCGGCGACCTCCGCGCCCGCGCCTCAGCCCATGAACGCGACGGCCGGCGGCTTGTAGCCCGGGCAGGCGTCCGGCTCGCTGCGACACCGGCCCCGGAGCACGCCCTGGAAGTCGCGGTGCCAGGCGGCGGGCTCGCAGACCTTGGCCGACACGTAGCCCCGGCAGCTCTCGCCGAAGCCGTTCTTAGGGCCCGACGCGAGGACACGCAGGCGCGGGGCGCCGTCGGCGGTCCGCGGCGCGCCGTCGACCGTCGCGTCGGACACGAACACGGCGTCGCGCTCGAGGACGCGGACCTGCGGCGAATCGAGCGCGACGCCCTCGCGGACCATCGCCTTCTTGGCTTTGATCGTGTAGCGGTATGCAAGTTCAGTTTCGCAAGATTCGTCGACCAGGGATGCCATTAGCGCTTGAGCTGCTTGGATGCCCAACCGAGCGGAGACCAGGGCGGCAGCTCCTTATAATAGGTGGAATAGGACGCGACGGCGACGATGTCGACGGTGACGAGCAAAGCCAAGAGCTCGGCAAAAATGCCTCGTCTCATGCGACGATGTCGACGGTGACGAGCAAGGCCAAGAGCTAGGCAAAAACGCCTCGTCTCATGCCGCAGCTCTCCCAAGTCAAGGTGAAGTAAAGATGCTGTCGAAGAACCCAAATTACGCCCGCAGCGGCGCGTCCCGCTCGAGGCCGCGGAAGAGCTCCGGCCAGGTCGCGCCGTTGCGTTCGAAGCCGGATTTGAAGACGACGTCGTCCTGCGCGTTCGTCTTCTTGAGGATGTTCGAGAGGCCGACGGAGGCGAGCGGCTTCGCCGTGTCCGCGTCGTAGCACTCGAAGGTCGCGTCCTTCGCCGCGTCGGCCGCGAGGCTCTCGACGCAGATCGCGGCGACGTCCGCGCGGGCGATGCGGCCGCTCTTCGTGTCGCCCTGGTTGAGCTCGAGGAGCGCGACGCCCTTGGCCGCGTCCTCGGTGAGGCCGCCGGGCCGCACGACGGTGTAGGCGCACGAGGCGCTCGACGCGTAGAGGCGCCGGACGGCGTCCTCGCCCTTGATCTTCTCCTCCATGATCTTGCCGAAGACGTTGAGGAAGAGGTAGACGGGGCTCGACGGCTTCGTGACGGCGCCCGACCTGGGCAGGAAAAGGGTGCGAAATTCCCGACTTCAAAGGCTCCTATCTCGGTCGATTTCTGCTCGTATCGGCTAATTTTTGGACGAGCGATCATATCTCGGAGCGCTCTCGAAGCGTGGGTGCTGTTTCCGAAACGCGCGCGCGCGGAACACTCACGTTGAAGCGACGTTGAATCACCCTTTTCCAGCCCTGCGCCCGACGACACGACGACCAATCGAGGCACGCCGCCCGCGAGGCAGGCCTCGGCCACGTTGACGAGGCCCGCGTTGTCGACGGCCGCCGGCGCGCCGCCCTGCTTGGACGCCGACGCCGCGAAGATGACGGCCGCGGCGCCCTTGACGGCGGCGTCGCACTGGCCGCGGTCGACGACGTCGCACGGCTTCGTCGAGAGCAGCTTCGACTCGAGGCCGAGGTCGTTGCCGCTGCGCGTGCAGGCGACGACCGGCGTGCTCCTCGCGAGGAGCGCCTTGACGCACTCGGAGCCCGTGCGCCCGTTGGCGCCGATGACGACGACGGGCGCAGCCGCCGCCGCGCCGGCGGCGCCGGGAAGGAGCGTCGTGCCGACGACGCCGCGCAGCAGGCTGCGGCGCGACGGAGCACTCGTGGCGCGCTGCGACGGAGCCGTCATGGCCGCCGCAAGGTGCAGCTGCATGGCTAGCAGCGCGGTCACGGCTGCGGCAAGGTGCAACTGCATGGCTAGCAGCGGAGCCATAAAGGAAGCGCGGGCCATCGTCTCCCGAGCTTTTAGATCGGGCAAGTTGCAGTCGATATTACCCTTTCAAGCAAGCGGGTATGCGGCGCCGGCGCAATTAGAATGGGCAACGCGCTGCCCGGCGCGCAGCGGAAGCTCGTGGTCCTGGAGCAGGATCCGCTGACGTGGCGCCTCGAGCACGTCGTCGACATCCGGAAGCGCTTCATCGCCGAGGGCTGGGACCCCGGCGTCAACCGGGACCAGCTCTCGCAGCTGGTCCAGCTCGTGCTGCCGGACCCGACGCACGACGTCGTCGAGGAGGTGCTCTGGCAGCGCTTCTTCGACGCGGCGCACCGGATCCCCGAGGACGCGCCGAACGAGGTGAACATCTTCGAGTTCTTCGCGGGTTTGGCGGTCGTCTGCCTCGCGGCGTTCGAGGAGAAGGCCGCGTTCGCGTTCGACCTCTTCGACTTCAACGGCGTCGGCAGCCTGAGCTACGTCGAGTGCATCGTCATGCTCTCCACGTTCCTGAGCGGGACGATCTGCTTCGTGCGCCGGGGCGCGAGCCCGTCGGACGAGAAGCTCGAGGCGCACGTGAAGCACGCGTACGAGACCATCGGCAAGCAGCCCCACGAGCGCCTCACCAAGGAGGAGCTCCTCGAGTACTACGGCGTGCGCATCATCGAGCTCTGCGAGGCGCGGGGCATGGACGAGTGCGACACGCCCATGGTGTTCCTGCTGTGCTACGACCTCGTGAACATGAGCATGCTCGACGACGGGCCGTCGACGAAGGCCGTCGTCCTGAATTCCGAGGACATCGGCTTCGACTAAGCGTGGGTTACGCCGCGGGCCGCACCATGCCGATGTAGGGATGCTCGCACGCGTCGCCCGCTTTCGTGCGCATCTCCTCCCGGCCCGCGACGGCGAAGCCGTAGCGCGCGTAGATGTCCGGGTTCCGCGGCCCGCACGTCTCCAGGAAGCACGGCAGGCGTTCGCGGTCCGCGATGGCCACCGCCGCGCGCATGAGCTTGCCGCCGACGCCCCGGCCCTGCGAGCCGGGGTCCACGGCGACCGCGCGCACGTAGACGTGCGGGCCGGGCGCGTGCGCCTTGTGGAGCCGCTCGCTGGCCTTCGTCAGGGCCGCGAGCCGCGTATTCTTGTCCGTGTTCGTGTATGTCGCCGCCGCTCCTTTCGGAAAGCCCGTGCGGGCGAACGCGGCGGGGAAGAGGCACGGGCCGTCGACGGGCTTCCCGCGGTAGATCATGAGGCACGCGACGCCGACGAGGTCGCCGTCCGCGCCGCGGCAGGCGACGATCGCGCCCTTCCGGCCGGCGGCGAAGGACTCCTCGACCAGATAACGCATGATCCAGGCGAGCGCTTCCTGGCCGCGCGCCGGACTCTCCCACGTGCCGCCGCTGCACCACTCAAAGGCCAGCTCGGGCGGCGTCGTCTCCGTCCCGGCGAAGGAGCGGCCCAGCACCGCGCTCGCCTCCCTGGCCGCCGCGGGCGTGCGCTGCAGGCATTCGACGTCGCGCAGGTCGCCGACGTCCTGGACCTTGCTGCTCGCGCAGCAGCCCATTCTACAGCAATCTCGCGCTGCACATCGCGACAGGAGAGATCGTTTGGCAGGGACCCAAGGTCGACTGCAAAAAGAAAATTGGACATCGTGGGCAAGCCCTGTGGCTGAGGTGCTCTCACACTGCGCCCGACGCCCGCTAGGCGACTTCGGCGCGCGCCATGTGCTCGCCGGAGAAGCGGGACCGGGGCCCCGTGCACCCGGTCGTGCTCAAGGACGCGACGCACCGGAAGAACTCGCTGAAGGTCAGCGTGCCGGCCAAGTGGCTGCGGGGCCCCTGCGCGCGGCTCCTCGAGCCCTGGGCGAAGCACACGGGCGACGGCATCGAGACGCTGCGCCTGCGGAGCGGGGCGGCGCCCGGCGCGCCCTGCGTCGACGACGTCGCCATCGAGGCGATCCTGGGCGCCGCGGGCGGCGAACCGCCGGCGCTCTTCGTCGCTCGGAAGATGGCCTGCGAGATCGCGCCGGCCGCGGGGCCCGGCGGCGACTCCGAGGCGGCGGCGCGGCGCTACATGGCCGACGGCCTGCTGACGGAGGCCGAGCGGGCCTACCGGCGCGTCGCGCGGTCCGGCGGCTCCGAGGCCGCGGCCGAGAGCGCGCGCGACGCGCGCGACGCCGCGGGCGAGCTCAAGCGGGCCGAGCGGTGCGCCAAGAGCCAGGATTCGCTGGAGAAGACCGTGGAGGGTTTAGAGTTGGGCCGGTCCGTGCTCCGGCGCTGCCCGAACTCGCTCCGCGCGGCCGAGGTCGTCGCGGGCTGCGCGGCCACCCTAAAGCTCTGGGACGAGGCGGCCGCGGTGACGCTCGCGGCCTGCTTCGGGTCGCGCGAGGCGCGGCCCGACGGCACGGTGCGCGAGTTCGACGCCGCGGGCGACGGCGTCGCCGCCGGGGCGCTCCAGCGGCTCTTCGCGTCGCGGCGCGGCGGCGCGGCGGCCGTCCGGAGCCTGAGGTTCGCGACGCGGTACCGCGAGTCCGAGGCCTACTGCGTCGCCTGGGCGAAGCGCCAGGCGGACTGCAGCGCCTTCTGCAGCGAGCAGCGCCACGTCGCCGCGGAGCTCCGGCGCCTCGACGACGGCGCGCGCGCGGCGCTCGACGACGCGTCGGCGGTCCGCGTCGCCAAGGCCTCGCGCATGTCCGAGTCCGCGGCGAGCCGCGACGCGGAGCTGCGGCGCGACGAGCGCTCCATCGCGGCGAAGGTGCTGGAGTTGCGCGAGGCGGCCATCGCCCTCGACGGCGAGAACGCCGCGCTGCGGCGCCTCAAGGCGTCCGCGCTCCGCTCGCTCGGCCGGGCCGGCGAGGCCGCGGACGCCTGCGACGCGGCGCTCCAGCTCTCGCCGCGCTGCCCGCGGGCGACGCTCCAGCGCGCGCGCTGCGTCGCCGCCGCGGCGCGCGCGCGCCTCCGGGAGACGTATTTCCACGACAGGGAGAGCGCGGAGCGCGCCGAGACGCCGTTCTGCTTCTCGAACCCGTCGTCGGGCGCGCCCCGCGTCGACGCGGAGACGCAGCGCGTCGACCCGGACCGGCCCATGGCGGCGGCCACGTCCGCGCTCGCCGCGGACACGCGCGTCCGCGCGCTCTGGGCCAAGGCGCTCCGCGACTACGACCGCTACCTCCGGCTCATGGGCCACGACGTCGACCTCGACGGGGCGAAACCGCCGGCCGGCAATCAGGCGTCCGACGGCGTCTTCACCTTCAGGGGCGCGAAGATGTCCGCGCCCGCGGGCGAGAAGGCGCGCGAGGGCAGCTGGCTCCGCGTCGTGCTCCACGAGCGCAAGGCCCTCAAGGCCGACATCGCCGCCGCGGAGCGCGCGGAGGTCCGCCAGCGCGCGCTCGAGGCCGAGCGCCTCGAGCGCGAGCGCAAGGCCGCCGAGGCGCGCCGCCGCGCGGCCGAGGGCGCGCGGAAGCCGCAGCGCGAGTGGGACCGCGACAAGCTCCGGGAGCAGAAGGACCCCTACGAGGTCCTCGGCGTCCAGCGCGACGCGACGGACGCGCAGATCAAGAAGGCCTTCCGCTCCCTCGCCCTCCGCTACCACCCGGACAAGAACCCCAACGAGTCCGAGAACGAGAAGTTCAACGACATCAACGCGGCCTACGAGCTCCTCTCCGACCCGGACGCGAAGAAGCACTACGACGCCTACGGCGACTGACGCCCGTCGCATTTTAACCGCCGCGATTCGGGATTTCTCGGGGCAGTGCGGCCGCGTCGAGGCCGCGTCGCTCACGTTGCGTGGGGACTGCCTCAGGAAGTTGATGTTCATGTTGAGCGAGCCTTGAGGCCGGGGTGCCTAGCTAGCAGCCGACCGACGAGCGCAGCAGCGACGCCGACGTCGTGCGCGCATGCCGGAGATGCCGGAGCCGTCGCAGAAAGTGCTCGTGCGCGAGCCGCTCCTCAGCGTCATCGACTCCGGCGACGTCGCGGGCCTCGCGCGGCTGGTGCGGAACGACCCGACGCTGGACCTCGCGCAGCCCTACGACGACTTTCGCACGCCGTCGCTCGCGCACCGCGCGCTGGAGCTCGGCCACACGCACCTGCTGCGCTGCATGCTCGCGACGCGCCCCGAGCTCGCGCTGGCGCCGGGACTGCACGGCGCGTCGCTGACGCACCTCGCGGCGCGCCGCGGCAACGTCGACGCCGTGTCGCTGCTGCTCCGCTACGTGGGCCGGGCCGCGCTCGACGCGCCGGACCAGCTCGGCTGGTCGCCGCTGCACGACGCGGCGATGGAGGGGCAGTTCGCCGCGGTGAGGTACGTCGCGAGGCGGGGCGCCGACGTCGGCCTCGAGACGCGCGACGGCCAGACGGCCGCGGAGCTCTCGCGGACGTCGGGCTGCCGCGACGCGGTCGCCATCGCCGACTGGCTCGAGGCGGTGGTCCGGGCCGGCGGCGTCGGGCCGTTCCTCGCCGCGGAGAAGTTCCCCTGGGTCAAGCTCCGGTGGCTCGCGGAGCGGCGCCGCGCGGCGCCGTCGCTCGTCTACGGCCCGCAGTGGCTCGCGCTCGCGACCTTCGTCGTGCCCGACGACGCCGGCGGCGACGACGCGAAGCGACGGCGGCACCTGCCCAAGGACCTGCTCCCGCTCGTGCTCCGGTACCTCTACTAGGGCGACGCGAGCGGTGTTAGGGGCCCCTAGCGCGTCTCCGGGCGCAGGGCCGTCTGGAGGGGCGCGAGCTTCGTCGCCGCGCCCTGGCCCGTGACCTCGAGCGTCTCCGCGGAGCACGCGGAGGACCCGTCGTCGCGGCCGCGGCGGCTCCGCGGCTTCTTCGCGTGCGTCGGGGGCTCGCCGAAGAGCTTGCCGCTCTGCTCCACGGGGAGCCAGGGCCGCGCGTGGATGCGGCGCGTGATGGGCGCGATGGCGTGGCGCCGCCTCCGCAGGTCGACCTTCTTCTTCGCGCCGAAGAGCGGCAGCTTGTCCCACGAGCTCGCGGCGCTGTTGCCCCGGCTGTCGTAGAGGCAGGTCGTGGAGATGCCGTAGCGGTTCGCGTGGGCGACGGGCCCGCCCGTGCGCTTGCTCCGCTCCTGCTCGCGCGCCCGGCGCCGCTCGGACCGCGCGCGCCGCGCCGCGTCGCGCTTGACCAGCGTCATCTCACTGAGGATGGACGCGAGCGAGTTCTCGTCCCAGAAGGGCTCGCGGCTCTGCTCGTCCCAGCTCAGGGCCGCGGGCGCCGTGATGGGCCGCCGGCCGGACCGGCTCGCGGCCGCCGACCCGGCCTCCGACGGCGTCGCGGCGCCCATGCGGCTCGCCCAGGGCGGCGACGCGCCCCGGACGCCGCCGGAACCGCCCGGCTGCCCCCCGAGGGGGGCCAGCCCCGCGCCGCCGGGCCGCTCCGCCCCCAGCGTGCCCGCCGCCGCCGCGACGACCGCGGCGTTCGGTCCGGAGGCGCTTCCAAAAGCTCTGCGAGCTAGCGCTCGGCGGTTAAGTCTAAGGTGACGGCAATTACACGCGGGCCGCCGCACCGTTACCTTAAAAACCTTTACCCCGCCGCGGCCATCGCGCGGAGCGTGGCCCGGGGCACGGGCGCGCGGAGGGGCTTGGAGTAGAGCGCGTCGACCGTGGCCGCGACGCGCGCCTTCATGGCCTCGCCGTCGTCGCAGAGGACGGCGGCGATGAAGCGGTAGACGGCCGCGTAGAGGCGCGGCTCGTCCGCGGCGAGCGCGTCGATGCGCTCGAAGGAGACGCTGTAGAGGTAGCAGGGCTCCATGGCGAGGAAGACGCCGACGGACCGGCGCCGCGTCGCGAGCTCCTCGCCGCCGATGATGGACCCCGGCCCGAGCTCCGCGAGGCGGAACGCGACGGCGCGCCGCGTCCGGGGCCGGTCGTCGACGAGCAGGCGGCCGCCCGTGGACTGCTGCGGGTCGTGGCGCACGTTGATGCGGCCGCGCGCGACGACGTAGAGCGCGTCGTGCCGCGGGTCGACGGCGTCGCCCGCGGAGGACCGGCTCAGGAGCTCCTGGCCCCGGGGCAGCTCGCACGCGCGCGCGACGCTTGCGAGGCCGTCGAGCGCCCCGAGGAGCGCGTCGCGGTCGCGGTCCAGCAGGGCCGTGCGCCGCAGCGCGAGGCGCACCGCGCCGCCGAAGGAGAGCTCGCTCGGCTTCGGCCGCCGCGCGAGCGCGCGCGCCGCGACGTCGCGCAGCAGCCGCGCCTCGCAGTCGCCCAGCGCCGCGTCCAGGTCCAGCGCCAGCTGGAAGAGCCCCGCGCCCGCGCCGCGCTTCCGCAGCGCGGCGACGACGTCGTCGTGCGCGCCCGCGACGTACAGCGCGGGCGCGCCGCCGCGGGCGCGCGTCGCGGCGACCGCGCGGCCCGCCGCCAGGAGCGCGTCGATGGCCGACGCGTCCGCGCCCGCCGTGTGGCTCAGGTCCAGCACGGCGAAGTGCGCGCCCTTGGGCTCCGGCCCGAGCCACGCGCGCACGTAGTCGAGGAGCCGCCGCCCGTTGCCGAAGAAGAGGAACCCCTGCACGACGAAGACGCCGACGCGATCGCCGTAGACGTCGAGGTGCCGCGCCTCGCGGGGCTCGCGCTGCACGTTCGACCGGAACGTGAGCGCCGTCGCGACGAATTTCACGACCGGCGCGCGCAGCGACGCGACCGCGAAGAGGACGACCGCCGCGCCGAGCCCCGCCGCGAGGCCGACGGCGACGCCGCGGCAGCGCACGACGACGACGATGAGCGCCGTCACGCCCCAGCGCTCGCTCCGGGGCAGCGACGCCGCTTCTCGCACGAGCCACGCGTCGACCATGCCGACGCCCTGGCCCGCGACGAGCGCCGCGTAGACGAAGCGGGGCACGAGCGCCCGCGCGGCCGCGAGCGGCGACCGGGGGAGCGCGTAGGCCGCGAGCGCGAGGCCCGCGGCGACCGCGCCGGGCACGCGCGACCGCGGCGACGCGCGCAGACCCTTGGCGATGACGCTCAGCGACACCTGCTGGCCCAGCGTCGCGCCGGAGACGAGGCCGCTCGCCACGCCCGCGACGCCGAGCGCCGCGAGCTCCGCGGCGTCGTCGTCGCCGCCCGCGTCGCCGCCCGCGTCGCCGCCCGCGAGCGCCTGGCGCATCGCGCCGGCGACGACGGGCGCCTTGAGGATGGCCAGCGCGACGACGGCGACGAGGGGCTGCAGCGCCCGCGACGCCGCGTCGAGCGCGCGCCGCCGCCGCCGCGCGTCGCCGAGCGCCGCCGCGACGCCCGCGGCCGCGGCCGCGGGCGGCGGCCAGGGCGTCGCCGTCGCGCGCGCGTCGAGGCGCCAGGCGCCGTCGTCGACGCCGGGGACGACGCGGATAAAGGCGTGCCAGGCGAGCGTCGGCGCCGCGACGGTCAGCGCGAGGCGCCACTCCGCGGCGAGCGCGTACCTTTTCCGCAGGCCGACGTCAAAGGCGACGAGCGCCGCCGCGAGGCCCGCGGGCGCCAAGGCGCCGCCGCCGGGCCGCGCGAGGACGAACGCCGACGCGACGAGCTCCGCGCCGATGGACGCCAGGAGCCCGCAGACCACGGGGAAGGGCAAAAAGTCCGCGAAGCGCAGGAGCCGGTACTTGGCGAGGACGACGAGGCCGACGCCCGTCAGCAGCGACGCGGCGGAGAAGCACGCGACGACGACGGCGAAGGCGTCGTCGTGGTCTGTTGGCTGGCGTTTATAATCGTCGTAGGCCTCGCCGACGGCGCTCGCGACCTCGCAGAGCAGCGGCGCGACCGCGAGGTCCGGCCCGAGGGGCATCGCAAAGTCGACGCGCTGCGCGAAGACGTAGGGCGCGCCGACGAAGTACCCCAGCGCCGCGACCTGGGCGAGGTCGCCGCTCCGCGGCCGCAGGAACCCGCCGCCGCGGCTCGTCGTCGTCGTCGCGAAGGCCGCGCAGAAGACGGTCACGAAGAAGAAGCACACGGCGCCGACGCCCGCGTCGCGCAGCATACTCGCCGCGCGGTCCGCCGCGGACCGCCGCCGGCTGCCCTCGGCGCCGGCGACGGCGTCGACGAAGGAGCTCGCGCGCCGCCGCAGCGACGGCTCGCGCGCGAGCGCCGTCGTCTCGACGGGCTTGACGGGCGTGAACGCGCTCGACAGCGAGAACACGTTCGGCGACAGCGGCGCGCGGGCCCGCGACGCGAGGTCGCCGTCGCTCAGGCTCCCGCTGCGCTCCTCGCGGGGCCGCAGCGGCGTCCGCGGGTCGCGCGGATCCGTGGGCGCGTCGTTGATGAGGAGGATGGCCGTCTCCGGCGACGACGGCGCGCGCTCCAGCGGCGCAAAGGTCGTCGCCGGGAGCGGTGCAAAGGCCGCGGCGAGCGGCGACGCCTCCGGCGGCTCGAAGGCCGCGAGCAGCGACCGCGCGCCTTTGCGGCGCGAGGCACTCTCCATGCCGGGGCAGCCTCGTGGCGAGGTTTCTGGATGAAGTGGCGCCGTTGGTCTTCGGTCCAAATTTCAAGTCAAGCCGCTCGGCGAGAATGGTAACAGTCTTAGCGGCGACGCGCGCTGGGCGCCGCCGCGGACGGGGAGGGAGCGGCTCTTTGGGGGAGGGGGGTGCCCCAGCGCGCGCCGTCGGGCGGCGGCGCGCGTGGGTGGACGATCGAGGAGGCGAGAGTGGGCGGACGGCGATATCGGTGGTCCCGGGCGGGGTGGTCGCGCCGCGCGCGCCGTCTCCGGCGCGGCGTCTGCGTCCCGCCGCGGGCGACGGCCGGCCGGCGCGCTTAGATCACGTCCTTGTCGAGGTCGTCGAAGAAGGGGTGTTGGAGGGCCGCCTTCGCGCTGATGCGCTCGTTCGGCGCGTACTTGAGGCACTGGTCGAGGAGGTCGAGGCCCTTCGCGTCGAGGCCCGGCGCGAACTTGGCGAGGTTGAGGCGGGGCCAGGCGGGGAAGAGGCTCTGGTAGTCGCGCAGGTTGGCGACGCCGGGCCACATGTTCTCCGTCGGCGTGCCGAGCACGCGGAAGATTTTGAAGAGCTCGTCGATCTCGCAGTCGCCGGGGAACATGGGCTTCTTCGTCACCATCTCGACGATGATGGTCCCGATGGCCCACATGTCCATGGGCGGCGCGTAGGTCTGGGACCCGAGGAGGATCTCCGGCGGTCGGTACCAGAGCGTCACGACCTCGTGCGTCAGCGGCCGGATCGGCGGGCAGAACGCGCGCGCGAGGCCGAAGTCCGCGATCTTCAGCACGCCGTCCTTCGTCACCAGCAGGTTCTGGGGCTTGAGGTCCCGGTGCATGCACCCCCGCATGTGGCAGAAGCTCAGCCCGCGGAGCATCTGGAGCGTGTACGACTTCACGAGCATCGGGTCGAGCGGGCCGTCGCAGCTGTCGAGGAACCGCTTCAGGTCCTTGTCCAGGAACTCGAAGATGAGGTAGAGCCGGCCGTCGTTCTGCAGCACGTCCTTGAGCGACACGATGTTCGGGTGCTGCAGCTCCTTGAGGAGCGAGATCTCCCGGAGCGCCGTCGACGGCATGCCCTCGTCCTCGAGCTCGAGCCGGATCTTCTTCATCGCCACGAAGTCGCCCGTGATGCGGTCCTTGCCCTTGTAGACGACGCCGTAGGCGCCCTCGCCGTGGGACTGGCCCTTCTCGACTTTAGAGTAGCGCTCCATGACGCCTACGTCGGTTCGGATCCCGGTACCGCTCGGCGCGCGCGCGCGCGGAGCCCCCGACGCCCCGCCGCCGCCGCCACGGGACGTCGTGGGGTCGGGTGGGTCGAGCGGGGCGTTCGTGCGGCGGGCCGGGGGCCGGGGACCGAGCTCTCTCCCGCGACGAGGTCGGAGGGGGGGTTCGGGAGTGACGTCTCGGCGCGCGCGCGCGAACGCCCCAGCGCCGCCCCGCCGCCGCTGCCACGCGAGTCCGCGGGTTGCGGCCCGCCCGTCGCCGTGAGTGCGGGGCGCGGCGCGGAGTTACAGGCGTGTAAGCCGCGACCCGCGGCCGCGTCGAATCCACGTCGCCCGCTCGCAGCGTGCGCCGCCGTTTCGAACGCAGCGTCGCCGCCAGCGGACGTCTCACGGTTTGGGCAGGTCGTGGCAGCAGCGGTAGGCGGTCTGGGGCGGCGTAGGGGCCGCGCGCGGCGTGTCGGATGTGGTGGCGCACCTTGGCGCAGCTCGCAGCTCAAATGATAAACGACCTCGTCAACTTTGTTTTTTGTGTGATTGTTGTAGTTCAACATAGGCAGGTCGTCGCCGTCACCCGTCTCTCCGCCGCGCGCGTCCCCCCGTCGCGTGGCCGGGCATGCCGCGCCGAATTGCGAAACGGCGAGACAGCCTGGCGCGTACTCGCACGTGCGGAACCTGGCCGCCGCGCGATTCTCGCCTCAGGGCCTCCGCTGGGGTGAGACCGTCGGTGACTTTGTTTTTTGTCGAGGCTCGTGTAGCCTCCGCGCGCCAACATCGCCGGTCCAAAACACAGAGCTCTCGGTAGATCGCGAGGCCGCCGCGCGCGACAGCACTTAGCCGACCTTTACTCGCGTTGAAGGCGAGCGAGGCCGAGCGCTCTCACACGCTCGAGTCCTCGCGCTCTCGCACCGACCGCCGCGCTGCGCGTGCATCACACACCTACCGACCGCGGCGTGCAATCGACACACCATGTCCGCCTTCGAGTCCGAGGGCGTGCAGAAGGCACTGAGCTTCCTGTGCCTGGCCATCTTCGGGCGCCTCATCAAGGGCCGCTTCAGCAAGCCCATGGTCGCCGGCGTCCAGAAGCTCATCCTCGACGGCATGCTGCCCTGCGTCATCTTCAAGGCGCTGTGCTCCATCAAGCTCGACGCGTCGCTGCTCAAGTGGCCGCTCATGGGCGCGGTCTTCGTCGTCGCGCAGCTCGCGGCGTCGGCGCTCTGCAGCTCGCTCGTCTTCCCGGGCGACCGGCTCGCGGCGCCGCGGCGGTCCGCGCTCGCGGAGCTCGGCACGTCGGCGCCGGGCCTGAGCGCCATGGTCTTCGTCAAGGAGTTCGTCGGCGACCACGCCGCGGGCCACGCGGCGCTCTTCGACCTGCCGACGAAGCTCTACCTCATCTTCGCGCTCCCGAAGCTCCTCCGCGCGGCCGGCGGCGGCGGCGGCGGCGCCGCGGGCGGCGCGTCGGCGCTGGGCCTGCTCAAGGACCCGCTCAACGTGAGCATCGTCGCGGGCCTCGCCTGCGCCGTGTCGGGCACGGCGTTCGCGGACCTCGCGTTCGTCGGCAAGGCCATGACGGCGCTCGCGTCCGCGCAGACGCCCGTGCTCTTCCTGCTCATCGGCATGAAGCTCAAGTTCGAGGGCGCGACGCCCGCGGCCTGCGTCGTCCTGCTCGTCGGGCGCCACGCGGCGAACTACGCGTGCTTCGCGGGCTTCGTGGCGGTCCTCGGCCTCGCGGGCGACGACGCGCTCACGGCGCTCCTCATGGTCCAGGCGGCCGTGTCCGTCGTCGGCTGGAGCCAGATGGCCAAGGCCTCCGAGGCCGGCGTCGCGGGCTACAACCTCGACTTCGCCTTCGACATCGTCGGCTACTCCATGCCCCTCACGATGCTCCTCCAGACGCTCGCGTGCCTCTCGGACCCGGCCCAGGCGACGGCCCGCGCGGCGACGGTGCTGCCCGTCGCCGGCGCCGCGCTCTTCGCCGTCGGATTCCTCGCGATCAAGTCGTCGGTGCAGGACCCCGCGGCGTGGGAGAAGAAGGCGGACTAGGTGCACCGTTAACGTTATGGAAGACTTCAATCGACAGCGCGCAACAATCACAACGTCGGGGCTGCATTCGACGCGCTTCCCAACACGCCGAACAAAATACTCCAACGTTCCCCCGCGTGCCCCCGGGTCGCCGCCATGAAGACGGGCCGCGTCGTCGGCCTGCGGTGGCTCCCGCAGGAACTGCTCCTCGAGGTGCTCGCCTTCGCGCCGATGCGCTCCTACGGCCGCCTCGCGGCCTGTTCGGGCTTCCTGGAGCGCCTCGTCCGGGAGCACGCCGACTGGACGGCGTGCTACGCGACGCTGCGCGGCGGCGCCCCCGACGACGACGACGCCTGCGGGGAGGACGGCGTTGTCGAGCGCGCCGCGGCGCCGGGGACGGCGCGTTCGAACCCCGGCGGCGTTCGAACCCCCCCCCCGCATTCCCTCGCAGGCGCGCGAAGCAGGCCTTCGCCCTCATGGACCTCGTGCACGACCCGCGGCGGCGCCTGCGCGTCGTGTCGCAGACGCTGCCCGGCGCCTGCCGCCGGGGCTTTGCGGTGACGGCGCTCGCGGCGCGGCGCGACGGCGCGCGGCGCGGCGACGAGACGACGCTCCTCGCCGTCGACGCCGCGGGCGAGGCGGCCATCGCGTCCTGGTGGTCCTGCGACGACCGCACGGCCGAGGACGAGGTCGTCGGCGCGCGCGGCGGCGGCGCCGCGCGGCTGCCGTCCTGGAGCCCGAACTGGTGGCGCCTCTTCGACACGCGCGCGCGCGGCCGGTCGAACCGCGTGCGCTTCTCCGAGCTCATCTGGGGCGAGGACGCGGGCTACGGCGTCACGGCCTTCACCTGCGGCTACGACGGTCTCGCCTTCGGCGTCTTTCTTACAGTTCCTTTTCCGACGAGCGAGCCCGTCGCAGGCAAGGTGCGGCGCCACGCGGTGAGCGACGGCACGTTCCGCATCCTCGGCGCGCGGCCCCTCTTCGACGTCGGCGGCCCGGGGGGCACGCCCGCGTGGTCCGTCGCGGCGTCGCCCGGCCTGCCGCACCTCCTCGCGGCCGTGGGCAACGGCGCGGTCGAGCTCCGCGACGTGCGCGCGCCGGGCAGCAAAAGGGTGATTCAACGTCGCTTCAACGTGAGTGTTCCGCGCGCGCGCGTTCCGGGAAAAGCATCCACGCTTCGAGAGCGCTCCGAGAGATGATCGCTCGTCCAAAAATCAGCCGAAACGAGCGGAAAACGACCGAGATAGGAGCCTTTGAAGTTGGTAATTTCGCACCCTTTTGCTGCCCAGGTGCGCGCGCCGGACCGCGTGCGGGGGTTGCGCGTCGGCGCGCACGCCGCCGGCGGCCGCGTCGTGTCGCGGAGCGTCGCGCTGTCCGCGCCGTTCCTCGCCGCGGGCGCCGCCGACGGCGTCGCGCGCGTCTGGGACCTGCGCAAGGCGCCGCGCGACGACCCGCGCCAGCGGCCGCTGCTGCGCGTTTCTACCGCGTCTACGCGCCTTGTCGTCCCCGCGCCATCGCC